ACGATAGCTACTCATTCCTATCGATAGATTTAGTGAATGGCAACATTATAGCGATTTATGAGCTTTGAAAGTCAAACGAGCTCGTATATGATCAAATTACGCAATATTACAGACAAATTATAAACATAAACATACCTTTCGCCGAATATAACTTCGTCCCATTGAGACGTACGCTCATTCTGATAGTCTTGATGAATTAAGAGGCAGTCTCTGTAAGAACCTCATAACCTCTTTGGATCAACATCATCAACAAATAGATTTCTCTCAAACTTTGTAGTTGAGATTACCTTTATAAGGGTTGTTTCAAAATGCATTTTGTTTTCAGTCTAATTGCATTTTGGCAAAGTTCCAGGGGGGTCAAGTTGAGGGCTAAAATTACGATTTTTGCTGTTCTCAATAGTGGATTTTTGCTGATTTTTAAACCTCTGTACATCAAACAAAAATAATCATAAAACTAAATCTTTCCAGACAATAGTAGCTTTATATGTCTTAAGTAACAAGGTATCTATAAATTTTTCAAATTTGTTTTCTAAATATAGAAATGACATCATTCATGATAGACTAAAATAGAAATTTCCAAGTTCCTTAAAAATGGGTGAAATAAAAACCCTAAAATTCAAAAGTTAGACTTGCTATGAATGTAATATTATTTGTATGGTGAGATTAAAGGTTGGTCTTACATAATATAAAATAAAATATTGCGGCCTGTAAATTTTGGAGGTACTACAGGCCAACAAAACATCAACATTTTCGACTTTCGGCAGTTTGGAGCAAATAAGAACGTTCATGTTTACTGTAAACTCTGCTTTGAAAGAGCAAAATTTTACATATTATTGGACCTAGAACAGTGATGAACATTCGTTTGACCTTTACTGTTGTCTAAAGTCTTTTTAGGGAAAAGCACTGACACAGGCATTTCCGTTATGTATGGACGTAATGGACCGTATTGTATAAATAATAAACATTTTCTAGCTGAATATAATCAAGACAAGTTATACATTTGCATCATGTAAAGACGTCCGTTAGTCAACAAATTATCAAACATCGATTTATGTTGAAGATTTATTTAGAAAGTCAAGAGAAAACCTACCCCAATATAATTGATACAAAGTATGCCTCGATCATAGCCTTGTCATTCAATGACCCCGATTGTCAGTTGACTTATTATTTGACGTTCGTTAGCTTCCATTATTCTTTAGTGTTAATCACTTTCGATATCTTAATGATTATTGTAGACACAGTCTCGTATATAAATCGTGATTCTTCGTCAACAGGCAACGCTAGTCAATTCCTCCATCGTTTAATTTTACTCGTTTTGTTATTGTTATGGCGGAAGCCGCTGACCAGCTAAATAATTCGGCTGTCAAAACACGTGCAACATGTCGAGAATTGTTTGCTTTCACACCGAAAATTTACCGCGAGACTATTTCCACAGGTGATTTTTGACTTTTTAATTTTTGTGAAAACACATGCAGCTGAAATAAAAAAATATATCTAAATTTTGTATAATTTCACGGTTTTGATATTAACTTGCTTTCATATAAACTTGCTTGCGTGTTGCGTTAATATATAAGTAACTTGTGAATTACGCCAACGTAACGAATTGAAAAAATTCAATGTCAAAATGCTGAAAGAAATCTGCAGCGAATTAGAAGTATATATATATATATATATATATATATATATATATATATATATATATATATATATATATATATATATATATATATATATATATATATATATATATATATATATATATATATGCAAAACTTTATTATTATTATTATTATTAAAGTAATATTTTAACAGCTTCCATGACATACGTGGTTTTCAGGGAGGTTCTGCAAATAAGTTACAATATAACTAATAGTAATACGTTATAATTTATCTTTCTGAAGTATATGCACTAGGAAATTACGATGTAAAAAGTAAAATAAGTCACTACTATAATCCAAAGTTCTTGATATGTTTAAAAGTTATAAGGAAATCGTTTTCTCAAGTAGAATTGGGTAAATTGTTCCGATCGTGACTAAAACACCACACGAGTACATACGAGTAACATACGAGTAACACACAAGTACATACGAGTACATACGAGTAACATACGAGTACATACGAGTAACATACGAGTACATACGAGTAACATACGAGTACATACGAGTAACACACGAGTAACATACAAGTACACACGAGTAACATACGAGTACACTCGAGTAACATACGAGTACATAAAATAATTTTATTAAAGATTAAAGATTAAAGATATGAGTAAAATACGAGTACATACGAGTAAAATACGAGAATTAGCACGCTTTCTTTAAAATTTCTTTCACTTTCACACTTTCACTTTGGCTTCGTATTATGTTCATGTTGTAAATGCCTTATTGACATAGGCGTACGAGACAGGGGGGCGGGGGGGGGGGAGGGGCAACTGCCCCCAAAATTTTGGAAAACCATGGAAATTCGGGCAAACGCTAGGAAAAATCAAGAAAATTCGGGCAGATTTATGAGAAAATATGTTAAAATCAGATTATTTCTTTAAAATTCTCCATAAAAATTCGGGCAAACTTTCAACTCTCCCCCCCCCCCCAGAAAACATCAGCCCCGTTCTCCTATGTGTTTTGCAAATTTAATACGTCAATTGTACACCTGTTAATACGTTTTCAACAGGGAAATATAAAATATTTAGGGTTCATTATTTATCGGTTGGGGGGCGGGGGCTGGTAAAATAATGGGGGGATATATTTTATGGGTGTAAAATAAAAAGAGTGGTTTAAATCTTTTGAAGAAGTGTTTGGGGAGACAATAAAATTTTATAGCATTGATATAAAGAAGATAGTATAGAGATAGTGGCGTAGCCAGCGCAAAAGGCGTGAGCCATTTTAGTGGAGGTCTGGGGGCATGCTCCCCAGAATATTTTGAAATCTAGGGTCCCTGAAATGCGATTTCCTGCATTTTTTCCTGAAGGTCCTCTCTACCCCCTGGTTGTAAAGAGCACACAAAAGAATAGGATGGGAAGAACTACCATACGGCCATACATATTCTTCTTAACTTTATTGTTGGAGGGGGGTGAAAATTTTCCAGACTGTTCTAAAGGGGTGGACTACATTTTTAAACACATTAAAAGGGAGGGTCATTTTTAATATGTTGTTTGAATTTTAGAATCCACCAGCTCCTTCCCCCCTCCCCAACCGATAAATAATGAACCCTAGCTAAGTATTTTATATTTCCCGGTGTACAATTCACGTATTAAATTTGCAAAACACATAGACTACAGACGTATAAACAACATGGCAAACATGCACTTTCATGTACTACAAAAGCTCTCTGACAGCCTGTGAGCAATATACTACATTTAAACCTTTTTAGAGTCTTAGAACATACAAATCTTTATTCTATATATATTAATTAATTACTTTTTCTACGTCGTGCGAGGCTTCGAAATCCATCAATACGCATAGGAGAACGGGGCTGATGTTTTCTGGGGGGGGGGGGGGTTGAAAGTTTGAATTTTTATGGAGAATTGTAAAGAAATAACCTGATTTTAACATATTTTCTCATAAATCTGCTCGAATTTTCTTGATTTTTCCTAGCGTTTGTCCGAATTTCCATGGTTTTCCACAATTTTGGGGGGCAGTTGCCCCCCCCCCCCTACCCCCTGTCTCGTACGCCTATGTCAATAAGGCATTTACAACATGAACATAATACAAAGCCAAAGTGAAAGTGTGAAAGTGAAAGAAACTTTAAAGAAAGCGTGCTAATTCTCGTATTTTACTCGTATTTTACTCGTATGTACTCGTATTTACTCGTATGTTACTCGTGTGTACTCGTATGTTACTCGTGTGTACTTGTATGTTACTCGTGTGTTACTCGTATGTACTCGTATGTTACTCGTATGTACTCGTATGTTACTCGTATGTACTTGTGTGTTACTCGTATGTACTCGTGTGGTGTTTTAGTCACGATCTTTATGATTAGGTATATATCTAGAAAAGGGTATGTATATCGCTGGAAACTCAGTGAGCGTTTTATGTTGTTATTTAATATTGTATAATTAGCACTCTTGGCCTTGCAATAGGCAACGGCAGCTTTTAGTTGCAGGGGGGG